TTTGTGGTGAGACAAATGCCAAAATCCAACTGCCACTCTCCTATCTATCCCTCATCTCCTTTAATCTCTCCCAGGAGTTTGGTCTCCCAGCGTTTTTAGAAGAGGGGTTAAAGTCTGAGGCAGAAGAGCTTCCATGTATAAAGAGAGTTGCATTAGGACTTCACTTGTTTGGGAATTTCTGTTTTGGAGTATTCCCAACACACACGCAGGCCCACATAACAGTCTTTTCCCTTCAGAGACAAATTCAGTCCTAAAAGCTCTGCTGCTGCTATTTAGAACCCAAACCACACACCTTCCTCCTTCAGTCTCTCGCTCTTCCACAGGACCTGCCACCAAGAGCAGGTGACATTTCTCTGAGAGAGAAACAGAGGTGGCTACCTTCAGAACCTGAGGTCAGCTCCAGGAGAACTTCCATGTCCCTCTCCCTGGCTACCTTCCTTCCTACTCCCCTCTGTCCCAGGTCAGAGCACTCCAGCTCACCCTCTGGAGCACCCAGCCCCTCTGCTCCCCCATCTCTCCTTTCCACATGGCTGTGCTGGTTGGTGCTCTGTAAAGAGCACATGTGAAGAAAACGTCTGTGACTCAACTGATCCCCCTCAACTTTCCACAGACTCTGTGAAGACACACCTGGCTCTTCACACCTCTTTGCGTGGGGGTTGGTAACACCTCAAATCATCCAAAAGAAGAACTAACTAGTGTGGGAACAGCTCTTCACCTGATGCACCCTCAGTGGAACTCAGAGTTTCTTACGTCAGCTGAGGATCTGGCTCCCAGCTTCTCCCACATTTAGTCTCACATCTTTGGACTAGTTTATTTAACTCCTTGTGTTCCCTTGTATCTTCCAGCAACTAAAATAACCTTTCTAACCTTCCACATCAGTTCCAGAACCTACACTCAGTGCACCTGCCAAGGTGTTCCTTTTACTCCTTTCTTCCTCTGCTGTTCCTTTTGTATAGATGCAAATGCATCAAGTGGGCAAAGAAAATGACTTTTTTTCTTTTTCTTTTTTTTGGTCAAATGTTTTGAATCGATTGAATCTATTGTAGAATGATGTAAGCCCTGAAAAATGCTGTGGGGTTGTATGAGCCTGTTAACACTTTTAAGTAAACAAACAAAACCTGCTTTCATTTAGACAAATGTCCAGGTCACAGTTGTCAGAACACTGCTGGAAGCTCTTGGGTATTAAAAAACAAAATCTAAATAAGAAGCAGAAGCTACATAAGGAGGAGGGCTCTGTGGGAACCTTCCTGTCTTTGGTCTGACAATCCAAAAAGTGTGTTCTGGTTTCCCCCAGCATCCGGTGCACTCCAGCAAGTTTCTAAATAAAGAGTAAAAACTCCCCTCGGAGCTTCAGCCTCCTTAAAATGGCACATCTCCTCTTTGCTGGCAGAGCTGCAGCTCATGTTAAAGCAAGCCACCCCAGGAACATTCTCCCTAAATGCTACTCTATATATCCTAAATGCTCAGCTCAGAGGTCGCTAAAATAAGCACCTAAAATAACAACTTCAAACACTTGCATCCCTTCAGAAGAGCTGCTTTTTTTTTGTCTTACTCCACTCCATTTCCCTTCAGTGCTCATGAAACAAAGGATGCTCCATACCATGACCAGAGAGAAAGGCTGGATTGCAGCTTGAGGACTCATATAAGTCAATTAGAACCTATTGGCTCCTAATTACAGGATCTGTTATTTACCCCAGTCTGCCTCCCAGTACAAAACACTGGGTGACTGATGCCTTCTGTGTGTGATAAACGCTCATTGAGATACACGTGGAGGCTGAAACCAACAAAGAGTCTGTTTCTTTTTCCTCTACACTGAGCAAGCAGCCTTCAGCTTCCACCAGAACATTTAATCCCCTCTTAGAGCATTTCAGAGATAATGAGGCTGCTGAAAGTCTAACACTCAATTACGGAGAAGGAAATAAGAAGCATGAATATTATAACTGAACAGTCGGATCCATTCACAGAATAGAACACTAAAAAATCATCCTAAGCCAGGGAAATGATATATGGGTCAGCTTAAAAAAAAAACAACCCACAACAGAGACAATGGGAAGCCCAAATCTTACTTTAAATACACATTCAAGCATTTGCATCAGCAATTCCTCCTTCAGCGAGATGAGCACCCAGCTTTTTCACTACCTCTTTCAACACCTCTTGGAAGCTCAGGCCTCCTCAAATGTGTTCTCCTGCTTTACAGGAATTTCTGGCACCAGAAATTGTTTTACTGTGCAGTGCCAGAGCCCCGGGCCAGGCTGCCCAGAGAGGCTGTGGGGTCTGCATCCCTGGAGACATTCCAACCCCCCTGGGCACCTTCAGTGTGATGTGCTCTGCCTGGCAGGGGGGTTGGGCTGGGGGGTCTTTCCAGGTCCCTTCCAGCCCCTGGGATTCTGTGATTCTATGATTCTACCTCTTCCCTTCCCCGGGATCACCTGCACCACAGAGAGCACAACCACTCCCGTAAAGTCCCTCGGGAAATGCAGAAAATCTCTGTAAAAAGTGTCTCCTGTCTCTCATCTTGGGAGCAGCCGGGGCTGGGTACACCCTGGAGGGAGGGAAGAGCTGAAATGATCAGGAAACACCAACACAAACGCCTCAAAGACCCAAGATTTTTGAATAACACCCACACCCCCTTTCCCTCCAACCCCTCCTGCCTGTGCCGGGTCCTGGCGTTCACCAGCACATTCCCCATTGCTTAATTATCGCTGCAAAGCCTGATTAACATGCGCCAAGGGCTCTCTGGCAGGAACGCATTTTAATGAGGCGACTGGAAGGCAACACGAGCAGCAGTTTCTAGGAGGTTACGCCGTGAGTAACAGCAGCAAAGCGCCCAGAGCAGCGCAGGGACAGGGATGAAAAGCAGGAAAAAAAGAACCCCGTTCATTTTAATAGCGTGCTTAATTAGGGAGCGTTGAGGCGCCCTGACGGAGCAGCCACGGCTCCCAGTGGGTGC